CTCATTAAAGAATCTGTGTGAGATACACTTGTTGAGGGTAGGATCCTGAGCAACAGCCAGCATGGCTTTGTCACGGGTAGGTCTCATCTTCTATGAACAAGTCTCTCACCACCTGGACACGGGAGAGGAGGTCAACATTATATACCTAGACTTCCAGAAGGCTTTTGATCTAGTATCCAATGATATCCTTGTGGAAAAATTGGAAGATTGTGGGCTTAACTGCTCAACAGTTCAGTGGGTGAAAAATTGGCTGCATGGTAGGACCCAGAGAGCTCTCATGAATGGACCCGTGTCATCCTGGCAAGAAGAGACCAGTGGTGTCCCTCAGGGGTCCATGCTTGGACCAGTGCTTTTCAACATCTTTATCAATGATTTGGATGTGGGGGTGAAAAGCTTGCTGACCAAGTTTGCAGACGACACCAAGTTATGGAGAAGCGTAGTCATGCCAGAAGATAGGTTGCAGATACAGACAGACCTGGACAGTCTGGAGAGCTGGGCAGACCGGAACCAGAGGAAGTTCAACACTCAGAAGTGTAAGCTGCTCCATCTGGGGGCAAACAATTCCCAACATACCTACAGGCTCGGGGGGGACAATTTGACTTGCACCACAGCCAAAAGGGACCTAGGGGTAGTGATCGACCATCATATGAAAATGAGCTGGCAGTGCGATGCTGTGGCCAGGAGGGCAAACAGCACGCAGGCATGCATTAACTGTTGTATGTCATGCAAAACTAAGGAAGTGATACTCCCACTGTACTCCACACTGGTGAGACCACAGCTGGAGTACTGTGTCCAGTTCTGGGTGCCGCACTTCAACAAGGATGTGGAAAAACTTGAGAGGGTCCAGAGAAGAGCCACCCATATGATCAGGGACTTGCAAGACAGGGAAAGGCTAAGGGACTTGGGTCTCTTCAACCTACAGAAGAGAAGGCTGAGAGGGGAGTTGGTAGCAGCTTACCGCTACATCAGGGGAATACATCAAGAACTCGGTTCACCAGGGCACCCCTGCAGAAGACCAGGAGTAATGGATACAAACTCCTGGAAGGTCTTTTCAGGCTCAATTCCAGAAAAACTCCTTCAGTCAGGGTGCCCAGACTGTGGAATAAACTCCCTTCAGTGGTGGTGCAGTCACCTACCCTGGAAATCTTCAAAAAGGAGACTGGACAGTCACCTCGCTGGGGTCACTTGACCCCAGTTGTCTTTTCCTTCCTAGTGCAAGGGGACTGGACCCAAAGATCTACATGGTCCCTTCCAGCCCTTAACAATCTATCTATGAATCTGTGAAAGCTTATGCAAGTCTACCCTAGCCTTACAGTTGATTCAATAAGACATGCAGAAAAATTCTTGCCTTTGACACATTTCCTGGACAATCACAGCTACAGTTTCACTCCAATACTACCAAGATTTATGAACATAGTTGTAAAAGTAGCCCAGAAAGTTAGGCACGTACATCAGCTTTGGCAGGATTATGTCCTTAAAGTGCGCTTAGCCCACTTTTGTTGCTGGTTGGCCCTTTGACTTGTTTTAAAAAATTATCCCTACTAGCTATGATATTTGCAAGTTACTGAGGTGGGTTGGAAGGTGACAGGGTACACTTCTGTAATCTCACCCAGCAGATATTAGCCTGGTGATATTACTGATCTGCATAAAGTCTCTCGTTTTAGGCCCTAGCAGCGTCTTCTAAACAAAATCATGAATTTACCAGGGGACAATGTAAACGGTTGATCACTTTTTATTCCATCTCTTTATTCCACAAGCCAGGCACTGAAAGGTGACACAGTACCTGTGTGTTTTATGAGAGGGGCTTCTGAACTGAAGACCTTGTTGGCCTCTGCTCCCAGACAGCCACATTGGGTGACGGTTTGGTATTTTGTTTTGCTTTCTGAAGACAGCTAGGGTTTCTATTTGTTTCATGTTGTTCAGTTCTTTCAGCAGAAAGAATAATATGAAGTCTAATATGGATGATGTTAACAGGACTGAAGTTTCCCAAAGCTGCCAAAAGCATTTATAAAAAAAACAAACCAAGCAATAAAACACAAACTACTAAAATATCCAGGAGTGTTTTGTAGTATAAGCCACCCATATCAACCATGTGAGCAATCTTACTAATGAATCAAATTGTTACTATACAATCAATTACTCCAAAGGGCTATGAACGTAAGTGCAAGTTTACTAATACTCATCTCTTAGCTATGATTATATAAAAATGAATGTGTTAAAAGTAAAGCCATGTGTTAAAAGAAAAAAGTATTATATGAGATTTCTAATGATTTGGGTCCCAATCCTGCAGGGGCTTCATGCTGGCCTGTTTCACTATGACTCTGAGAGGGCACAGAATACCCTCCCCCTCAAGCTAGTGCCTTTATTGATAACCTCTTACACACAAATACATGTGAACCACAGTTTTAAACAACCCAGGAACTTTAAAATGTTAGGTTTACAGGTGCTGAGAAAATTAGAGTCTGTATACAAACATGATAATCTCATTAGCAATTTGTAAGTAAATACTGAGCAGCACATGGCTGTAAGTACTATATGGTAAGAATGACTCACATTCAGTAGTATATTAACAATTTTAAAGACAGAATAAAGAGCAAAAGCAACTTCCAAATATCCTCTCTAAACTTTTGTACATTTTTTCATAAGCTTTTTTTTTCCCCCTTAAAAAGCACAAGGAGTAGCTTGTAAGCAATGGTGCTGAACCAGATTAAACGAGACAGGAATTTGGCCTAACGCATCCAAGCCATTAGGCTGGCTACAGAGAACATTTCCAATTAAAGAATAGTTAAAATCCATTTTGTACAACATTCCATGCTTCTAAATCACTGTTTAAGGAGTTTTCTGAATTCATGTTATTTCTGTATGTAAAGAAGAATATGAATAGATATACTAATGTGAAGTTGAAATAGATATTCACTTTTTCCATTTATAATGATGTAAGCATATATCCTTCATAAGTAAAAAATTAGCAAATGAGTTGTAGGAATGCAATTCTTCAACTAATGTAGCTTGGCCAGATTTTTACAGACATGTGCGGGCCGGGAGCGACCCGAGCCCTTTTTCGTGCTGCACGCGGGCTGTGGCCAGCAGCCCGGGCACACTGGATTGGAGAGGGAGGGCGACGAGCTGGAATTAGGCACAAACGCTTAGCGGTAGTTTTAAAGATTGTTTACTTACACCAAAGATGGTCGTGGTGTAGGCTGGAAAACTTGCTTGAGTTGCGGTTACAGACAGGAAAGAAGAGAGGCGGACAAGAGTTCTAAACTCGTGAACTCTAGCCCAATCCGGCTGAAGGCTCTAAACACGCGAGCCCGTCGTGCCAACCGAAGAAAGTACTCGTCCGAAATAGCTCTGAATAAACTCTCACGAAGTTTGCTAGGCTCCGTGGGTCCTTCTGCTCACTCATCCACACGAAGTATGCTGGGCTTCATGGGTCCGGTTCTTTTGCGCGCAGGGAGGGATACGTCTAGGAATCTATCGGCGACGGGGAGAGGCTAGAGGCTAATCAGACCTCTGTTGCCTGCTTGAAATGCGTTGGGTCCGTAAGGATCCGCAGTGCTTAAAGATCTTCACACAGCGTGAAGTCTCCTCCTCCCGGTGTTCGTGGAGTCCTCCAACTTGGGCGGAAACCACTCAAGCCTTTTCTACGGCTAGCAAGCCAATCACTAGCCGCCACATGTGAATAATTTAGAACTGGCCAATAATGGGGCTCAAATTAGCATACAAATGGCGGGAACTCTTTGCAACGAGCATTTCTGTGCTGCAACAAAGAAATGCACCCTGCAAAGAAAGCTTCAAATTGGCGGGAAATTCTCCCTTGCACCGGGGTTCTCTTTTGCAGCAGAAAACTCCACCGTGCAAAGAAGCTATAATTTAGCAGGAACAATTTAGCAGTGCCGAAGCACACAAAACAAAAATCACACCCTTTGGGTTGTGACAACATGATAGTAAATAGAATTTACCCTTGAATTTTAGGTGCTTTATCTGCACCTTTTCTTTTGTAAAGTCCCTTATTTAGGAAACTGACATCTCCACCTATTAAGCAATGTAATTTAGCACAATTTCAGTGATTATAAAAAGGGAAGGAGAATGGAAAGTAGATATTGGAACACAGATGTGAACTATTTAGTAGATAGAGAGGAATGGGATGTGAGCAGTCTTGACTCCTACTCTATTCCCAATGTGAGAGGCAGGGAAGTTGAATTAATGAAGGAAGGAAACTCCCTGCACTTAGGAGCGAGCAGTAGCAGATGACATCTTTGCTACAGAGGATTCCCACCACAGGTTCCTCCATGTGTAGCATGCAGCTGCATTGCCTTCAACACAGGGATGTGACCAAAAGACATACCATATTTGGCCCCTCTGCTATATTTTTCAGACGGTTCACAAAATGCATGTTTCCACTTAAAAATCCCTTAATACAATTCTAAGCCCCAAAACCTGAGACCTTTGATGTCCCATTACTTGTCCCATGCTTAGCTATATTTATTTCTGCTGACTGATGGATCCCTAAATGTATATGGTTATATCCCACTGTTCAGCCAAGTTCTATTCTCAGGTACACTGATGTATATCAGAAATAAATTCTCTGCAGGTGAAAGGGCAAACAACTGTAGACAATGAGGCACACCATCCTTGAGGATGTGAACTCTACCAATTCCCATTGAATTTCCATCGAGGAAATGTTAGGGAATGCATAAAATTAAAATTCAAGTTCAGGATCTGAGAATTCGGCTACATGTGAAATCTGACAAGCACCGGGTAGAGTCCTTTTCATTGAAACTTGCCATTATTTAACTTTACATTAAACAATTTAAGAGGCTGGATCTGTGTTCCTTGTGCACCAGCTTCCTGAAATAGTTTATGGGAAACTTGGATGTAGAGGAAACAAAGAACTGAGGCCTCACTAAAGAATAAAATTAAAGTAAAAAAATGTAAGGATTACTTAGTTGATTCTGAGGACCAGGCAGTTATAATCTCAGACATATACACTTCCTTACCTTGAAAGTGTTAGCCAAAAAAGGATTGCAGAAAACCTGTCCATGAAGAGGTGCTTGGCCATGAATGAGTAGGTCCTTTCCATGCTCATTTCCAGGTGCTTGCAGAACATGGACGTCATGCTTCCAATGGTAGGCAGTTATCTCTGCCACAGGAAAGCCTCTCTCAGCCAGTTCAATGGCAGGTTGAAGAATCTGTCCCATGGAGAGCTGAAGGAGGATTACAAAATATTTCCAGATTATTAAATTGGCAATTAAAGCTTCCATACAGCAAAAACATGTACGTACAAGCAGTTTCACCCGACGTAATAAGGCTGTTCACACATGCAAAGTGAAGTACATGAAACTGAACAATCAGGGACTTAGCTGGTACAAATAAATTAGCATAAACTGCTGCAGACTGCAGTAATATGGCACTTGGCAGGTCAAGTGTTACATTTGTTATACGCAGACAAGGTTCCTTGCGTGAATTTGATATCTTTTATTAGACCAACCCAAATAGTTGGAGAATATTTATTAAGCAAGCTTTCGGGTTCAAAAACCCTTCGTCAGGCTAAGGAAGTTTCAGCAGTTGGTGTGTGCTTCATCCAGGAAGAGCACACACCAACTGCTGCAACTTCCAAGGAACCTTGTCTGCCTATGTCCTTAGACCAACACGGCTACAACCTAACCCCCTGCAACATTTGTTATACCATACTTCAGTTACAAACATGCACTGAACATTTGTAGCAATGACAATGAAGTAACACCAAATCACTTTCCTCCTGCTCCTGTGCTGTCTCCACTGAATTTAATAGGTGGGCTCAATGTTATTGTGGATAAAGAATTTTTTTGGATTTCTTTTAGTACAGGAGGTATTCAGACTTCAAAACACTAGTGCTTTCCTTTTCCTACCTATTCACAATGAAATAAAAGTTTGTCTAGAACAGCACAGGGTTCAGAGTGCTCCAAAATGCTGGGAAAGCATTTTCCCCTCACTTGGCCTTGTTGCTAACAAACTTGTTCACCCCAAGTACTGAACCAGCTATAGCTGCATCCTGACTGTTCTTCTTTTTCCCTAAAGATGAAAGCATCTAATCTCTAACGCACCTTAAATGCTGCTAGTTCAAGCAGTATAAATATTAGCTACTGCCACTAGCAAAGTCCTCATGTTATATCTCAAATTTTCTTGAAAGCAAAGTGGTAGTGTTGAGGGATAGAGTAGGAGGGAGAAATGGCACAATTATTCAAATGCTGTACAGCAAGTAGCAACATAAAATGGAACTATACTTCCTTTGCAACAGGCTTCAGTGTATAAAAAACCCCACCCAACTATACATGCAATGCAAGTTACTTTTGTAATTAAACATTCATGTTTATAAAATAAGGTAAATCATTTATATAAAGGAAAATCATCTATACAAGTAAAGCATTAAGATTGAAAAATTTTACCCCTTAATTTAAAATTAAGAAAAAGTTAAGGAAGGAAAATCACAATTTAATTCTAACCTCATCCTTGGTAATTTTGGCTCCTACAGGGATGGCAAGAGCACCTACTTGTATTCAAACCCCTCTATCATGAAAACTTTTTCAGTCATAAAATTACTTGAGAGAAGATAAAAGAAAAGAAAGGAAACAAAGCTGGAAAACCAATAGATTTAACATAGACAAGATAATGGGGAAAGATTACTTAATTTTTAATCATCAAGCTTATTAGAAATTTGAGGTGTATTAATCTTTGTTTGTAAAGCAAACACTTTGATTTAGCTTCACCTTTTTGCTTCCATAGAGGGAAACAGCATCACACCAGCCAGCTGCTGCACCAGGTACTGTGATATTATGAGCATGTAATAGAGGGAGAGGATTTGTCTCATCAAAACCTTGCTCTTTTAACAGCTCAATGGTCAGTGCCCTTGGAGACCTGCCACTGGAAACCAAAAGTGCATATATAACATAACAAGGTATCAGGTTTTTAGGTTCTCTGGCATAAGAGTGGGAGTACTACTGTAAACAGTGCAGCATAAGCTCCAGCAAGCTTGGAAGCAGCATAAAAATTCAGTTGAATTCTTGTGCAGCAGTAACACCATGGAGTGAATAGAGGTGTTCGCTATAAGCCAAAACCTGTGGCCCTTTTTTTGTGAAAATAATATGAAAATCTTATCAAATGGCCTTGGTCTCTTCAACTAGCAGTGTTCGTGTCTTGTTCTAGTATTCAATGTGGCAAAGCTAAATCTTCAAACCAATGTAAAGATTTTTTTATCCTGCCTTCATGCTTTAAGTTTTGATTCAAGCCATTTCTAGTTCCAAGGAATACAAAAATAGTGCATCATCTATAGCTTCTGAAAAGTTATTGCAATGAATACAAGTTTCCAAAGCATTCTTTAATGATTTTTCATCAGAGATCAGAGGACCCTCAGTACAAATCTTAACTAAGACAGTTTCCTGGCACTTTGTAGAAAGATGAAGAAAACTCATCTCCAGTAGAATATTCACTGTCTACACCTGTAACCATAACAAACAGGAATGTACAAACACCTGAAAATGATATTCTTTCTATGTTACTTCCATCAGGCTAATAAAGTCAACTGGATGCCTTCATTATAATTTTTTTATTATTTGTACTGTTACTGTGGAAAACAATTATTTGGCTACAGGAAAAACAAACAACTGAAAAAGAAATGAGATGTAAATGAGCTTCGAACGTGAACTATTAACCCTAATGCAACCAGTGCTAGAGACTGCCTACCCCTCGGGAGTTCATGTAATTATGAATATAGCTAAAGGGCATTAATCAACTCAGGCTGAACTCATGATGATGTTATGAATGTAGTCAAACTCCAGATCATTGGGGGCAATTCTGTATGCCTTTCATTGCCAAACCCTTATTTAAATAATTTATCTAATTCTTGCCCCAGTTATACCTAAGCAATTTAATTAGAAAGCCCAGTGACTTGAATTACCGTCTTATCTAAGGAAGGAGGCAATCTTGCAGCTCCATGGTGACTTGTCTAAACTAGCTGATCCAAAGCAATGGCAACCTGAGTCCTAGTTCCATGGAATAGTTGGGTATTACCTGTTCCCACTTCCACACAAGGTTCTAAGGCTTAATCCCACTATCTCAGAAATTAACAACAGTTTAAAGTAAGTATTTAAAACCCAGCGGCATGAGGCCCTGACTCTGAAATGAATGGGAGCTCCCAAGCCATCTAGGCTAAGTACAGACATTCAAAAAACCCAAGCCTGAAATTTGATTTAATCTTTGTAAGTTAGACTAGAGCGAGTCCTCCCTTCCATTCAGGCTGGAGGGAACCTGAACTTCAGGGATGGGGGTGGCCAGGCCCTGGCAGGCTGAATACAACTAGGGAGGGGTTTAAACCCCCACACTGGCTTGCAAGGACCCCAGCTAGGGTCTACCTAACTTTTCCCCCCTGCTCGTAGCTCAGTATGGCCCAGAAACCCCAGAGCCACCCTTCCAGCCATGGGGTGATCCTGCTATGCTTTCCCAGCTACCAGGGCTGGGGTTTGTGGGGCAACCAAGAAGGAAAGGCCAGATTGTGGTGGGGAAGGGGGGCAAAATGGCCCCAAGCCTAGGTGGGGACACGCACAGAGGGGTTATGGTGGTAGTGGCTCCATCCGGACATGAGCCCCACTGAGAAGAGGGATACAGGCTGGGGGCAGGCAGGGAAGGGCCTTGAGGGCCAGTGCTAGCCTGGAGCAGAGTTGAGTGAGCCAAGCATGCAGCTAGGGAAGCAGCTCCTGCTCAGCGGCCCCTTCTACCCTCTGGAGAGCAATGCTCAAGCTGGCTCTGGCTCCCACCATGGTACGTATGGCGCAGCCTCACTCCCTCGGCCCCAAGCATTATTACTTGCATCTCCCAGGCTGCTGGACTCAAGCTGGGCACGCACTGTTGAGTCTTCCCCTACCTGGCAGCAGCAGTGGCAGCATAGCATGGTCCCATGTACCAGGCATGGGGCTTTACCCCTACAGCTTCCCCACCGCCATTGTCACCGTCAGGGGGGCCCACCCTGGCCATACTGGTAGGCGCTGCCTGCGCCGCCACACTGAGGTCAATCACCAACTGCGCAGATGGCAGTGGCAAAGAACCTATAGGGTTAGCGCCCCACGCCTGATACACACCTTGCTGCACCTATGGTATCCCCGCTGCTGCCGTCTGCTTGCCTGGTGGCTGACAACAGTTCAACAGCATGGGCGGTACCTACCAGTATGACCAGGGTGGGCCCCCCCGATGGTGGTGGTGGCGGCGGAGGGGAAGCCATAGGGGTAAAACACTGCACCTGGTGCCTGGTACACAAGGCCGTGTTGTGCCGCCGCCAGGTAGGGGAAGTCAGCAGTGCATGCCCAGCTCTGGGCCCAGGGCAGGTAATAGTGCCTGGGCCTAAGGGGGTGAATCTGCACAGCATGCACTGCTGCGGGGACCAGAGCTGGCCTGGGCACCACTCTCCAGTGGGTAGAATGGGCCACCAGGCAGGAGCCACTTCCCCAGCTGCATGCTCGGCTCGGCTCGGCTCTGCCCGCTAGCGCTGACACACTCAAGCTCCTTCCCCACCTTCACCCCCAGCCTGGGTCCCTCTGCTCAACAGGGCTCACGTCCAGGAATGAGCTGCCGCTGCCGTGATACCTCCGTGTGTGTCCCCACCAGGGCTTGGGGCCATTTTGCTCCCCTTCCTCCCCCACAATCTGCTCTTTGCTCCTGAGCTGCCTCAAGAGAAACCCTGGCCCTGGCAGCTGGGAAGGTGCAGTGGAATTGCCCCCTGGCTTGGAGGGTCCTGGACCATGCTGAACCAGGAGCAGGAGGGGAAAGTTGGGCAGATCATGGCTGGGGTCTGTGCTGGTAGAACAGGGGAGGGAGGGGGAAATTAAACCTTCCTCCATCCACCGTTCACTTGAGGCTGCTGCCGGGGCTGGCCATGCCTCCCGCCACTCCAGCAGCAAGAGGGAAGGGAAATTTCTGACAGGGGCTGCTCCACACCATTCAGGCAGACCCTGGCTTGGGTCCCCCAGGGGAGAGGAGTGGGAGAGGAGAATAAATCCCCTTCCTGCCCCCTTTGCCTCAGGGTGCCATGCTGGGCTGGCATCTGGCCACATCCCTGCCCCTGCTCTGGCTACAGACAGCACAGCACAGCTGAGGACTGAAAGGCATGTTGGGATGCTAGGGGACTCTGATTTAACTTAAACCAGGAAGGGGTCTGGGACAGAAGTTCCATAAACTGGTTTGACCTCAATCAGTTAAGTCTGATACTTCATTCAACCAAATTTATCTTAAACTAGTTTTGGCCATTTTGAAACTGGTTTATGTGTACTGAACTTCTGTTCTGTTACAGTTTTAACCAGTTTCTGATCACTTTAACCAGTCTGTGTGTAACTTCTGTCCCTAGTCCTAGTCCCATACAGATGAATAACTGGTTGTTGTACCAGAGGGTTTGCCCAGTCTCATGCAAAACAGTTGCAAAAGCCACAGTCACTCCAATGCTGGCAGGATTTTTAAAATTTTTCACTGTTTCCTGTGATTTTTAGTGATTCTACTAGTAAATTTACTATAAGTCAAAATTGTTTTTTCTCAATCCAGCAGTCTTCTTAAACATAATCACATATGGGATTTGCGTAACCCACCATTTCTGAGTCCCAGATTTGGGACAAGAACTGGCCTCAGTTCAGTCTCATTCTTTGAAAAGCATGTGCTGATCAGCAAGACTTCATCCTGATGCTTATTCATAAGAAAAGAAATGTCATGTTGGGCCAGACGAATGGTCTATCTAACCCAGCAGCCTGTCTCTGACAGTGGTAGAAATGGATGTTATACAGGGAGAGCACTGAACCAGATATTTCTAGAGTTCATTTAAAGATTAACATCTCCTGACAATGCTGCCTTGTGGGTTTTCTTCTTCAAGCCATAGACTCCTGCTTTTTTCCCCTCCACATATCTGAACAAACTCCATATAGAGGGATTCAAAAGCAGAAATGAAGGTTAAAGAAAAAAATAGAATAACTTCACTTAAATTAGTAAAATTACTCCAGGTTTACATTTTATATAACTTAGCTAAAGATCTGTTTATTCAGAGGTAGATATAGATTAATGGTGAACTCTGCTCCCAGGAGGCCTATTTAACTATACTATACTCTAATAAATTATAGCAACTCTCAGTCCTTATCTTACCAACTTACCTTCCATTGAGACCATGCACCTGCTTTGTATTTGCATCATAGTAGAGACAGAAGCAATCCCCACCTATGCCAGTGCTGGCAGGCTCTGTGACATTTAAGGCAGCAGCTACAGCCGCGGAAGCATCTGCAGCATTGCCACCCTTCTTTAAAATGTCTGAAATAGAGAAGCTTATATCCAGTAGCAGTCAAGAGAATTTCCTAGTAGTAAAACATAGCCACACACAGTCTCACAAACACCAGCCTGGCCATCGTGAGATCAAAAATTGCAAGTGCAAGGAGAATACGTATTTTCACCTGTAAGAGACAAATACCTAACTCCTCAGAGATCAAAACTGTGAAAACCATTCATTTAAAAGATATTTTGCTCTTTAGAAAGGCAGAAACACTAGAAAACAGTGTCTAAAGCAAAACAAGTGTGAGAATCCTCATATATAGAGGAGTGGGGGGAGGGGGAAGGAGAGAAAAATTGAGAAAGATTTAAGGACAATCCATCAGAAACAGGACAGTGCATGTGATGAAGGGCTGACTCTTAAGATGAATGGGAATTGTTTTGCTGCTAACTTCAACATGGGCAGGATTTTGCCCAAGAAAAAAATGGAACAAAGAACAGCTTCTTGTTCTCATTCTTCCAGGACTTTGCAGGAGTTTTTACGTATGGCAATTCACTAGAAGAAATTCATAGATTCAGATTCATACATGTAGGGTCGGAAAGGACCTTGCAGATCTTTTAGTATGACCTCCTGCCCTGGGCAGGAGAGCAAACTGGGCTCAAATGACCCCAGCTAAGTAATCATCAAGTCTCCTCTTAAAGACCCCGCTTAAAGGAGAAATGCAAAGTGCTGCACCTAGGGAGGAAAAATGTCCAGCACACCTACAGCCTAGGGAATGACCTGCTGGGCAGCACGGAAGTGGAAAGGGATCTTGGAGTCCTAGTGGACTCCAAGATGAACATGAGTCGGCAGTGTGACGAAGCCATCAGAAAAGCCAATGGCACTTTATCGTGCATCAGCAGATGCACGACGAATAGGTCCAAGGAGGTGATACTTCCCCTCTATCGGGCGCTGGTCAGACCGCAGTTGGAATACTGCGTGCAATTCTGGGCGCCACAATTCAAGAGGGATGCGGATAACCTGGAGACGGTCCGGAGAAGGGCCACTCGTATGGTTAAGGGCTTGCAGACCAAGTCCTACGACAAAAGACTAGAGAAACTGGACCTTTTCAGCCTCCGCAAGAGAAGGTTGAGAGGCGACCTTGTGGCTGCCTATAAGTTCATCACGGGGGCACAGAAGGGAATTGGAGAGTATTTATTCACCAAGGTGCCCCCGGGGGTTACAAGAAATAATGGCCACAAGCTAGCAGAGAGCAGATTTAGATTGGACATTAGGAAGAACTTCTTCACAATTAGAGTGGCCAAGGTCTGGAACGGGCTCCCAAGGGAGGTGGTGCTCTCCCCTACCCTGGGGGGTCTTCAAGAGGAGGTTAGGTAGGCATCTAGCTGGGGTCATCTAGACCCAGC